CTCACCAGCACGGCACAGTCTAATGCGCACCTGTCACATCCAAGGTACGAGCAAGCTGGAGCTGATGTAAAGGAGTCATTGAGCGGCTGGGCCAAGCAGCAAGAGGCTGCGCTTGCCGAAGACCAGGACTCCGGAAGTTCGCTCGGTGCCTTACCCTCGCAACATCGAATCTGACTTCATGGGATTTAGAAGTAGCATACCTCATGCTCTGTTGGTCAGCTCTTACCCTTCTTTCTCGGTCCTGCCAGGATGAAGTGGACCGCCTTCGAAAGGCGCTAGAAGAAGCACGCCGCTGAGGCCGATGTGTATGATGCAGCAGGCTTCTTTGCGTGTGCCTCTCTTTGGATGCGAAGTTGGTTGAAACTTCAGTGCAATTCAATGCTCACTGACCCGATGAGAAGCTTCGTGGCAGGCATGGAAGCCAAAGGCTCCGCTGACCAGAGATAAATGGCGGCTTCACTTCCTAAGAATGTTTCAATTCAGGTGCACTGCACATTTTATTTGTAATGGAGGTGGCCGAGCGCTTGGCAACCTCAACCGTGTGCAAAGCATTGCTTATCAGTTCTTCACCTATTCATGAGCTTGAGCGCACTTTGCGAATTTTTGACCCGCTCAACTGCCATAAAACAAGTGTGTTCAGAGCTGCTCGCATGGCTGTTGCTGCAAAGAGGGCTGGCAAGAGCAGGGTTGCAATGCAACTGCTATATGGTTAGTAGCGGCAATAGTTCAGCTTGGCTAGGCAAGAGGGGGAGACAGTAGGTTAGTATCTCGCCAGAGCCTTTTTTTCCGTCATGTTCTTAGGTGAGGAGGCGTTCGCCAACTGCAAGTTGCCACATTGCCACGAAGCTCGGCTTCAAGCAAGTGGCGCCTTTTTGCCGTTGTGCACTCCTGACTCTCGAGCCCCGCCCTCTGCCGGAGGTGATGCCTGAGATATACCACAATCCAACTGCTGGTGGCTGGCGGCGAAAGATGCCAAAGCGAGCTAACAGGTCTATGTTGGAACTACTTTGCGGCCCTGGATGAGATTCAGTTCAACATGATAGTCTCAAGAATGCTCAATTGCATTTGCAAATCTGAATGGCTGCAGGCTTTGCCGGCACAAAAGCCTTTTTTCTCTTGCTTGTGCGGACCTTGAGGTGGAGCGAACTCGGCCAGGCTCTATGCATGAATCAGGGGTGCGCCACATGATGACCCAGCACCCATTCGTTACCCACTACCTCTCCCACTTTTGAAGACAAAGCTGACCTTCCAGCGATGAGAAACTTTCCTCATAAAAAGCTGGAAATGCAGGATTCAAAGCATCTTGCCGACTGGCAAGATCTTGACCGTGACCGGTGGCCAGTGCTGTAATGTTGGGTTTTTGTTTGTGTGGGGTTGGCCAAGATCCCAATCAACACTGTTGTAACACCAAAACATAATTGAATAAGTTTCCGAACTTCTCTACTCACCTTGAATTTGGGAATTGAAGGTGCTCGCGCGCTAGCCCCTCAAACCAAACATAGCAAAGCAGTGCACGGTATTTCCCACGTTGCCACCGCCAGCACAGTAGCAGCGGTGGCGGCGGCAGCAGCAGCAGGAGCAATTTTGCAAAGTTGGAGGTCAAAAGAATCATTGCAACAGCTCCCAGTTGTTGCAACATGGCTGTACATGATCAACACTGCAGCTGTGACATGCTCGGCGATTCGGCGACAAATGCTTGTAACAGAATTGCCAGGCTTGCGCCAATCGGTAAAGGTCTTTTGCGCTCGACATATGTAGCAGCAGGCGGTGCCAACGAGCACAGAAGGGGTTTTGATGCACAACCCGTACGAACAAATAAATATCTCAGATGTAGCCTGGCCATAGAAGCTTGGCATGCTGTCTGCGGGTCCTTCATGCTAAAGCCTTTTTCATCTCAATGGAGTGGAGGGCTTGTATGCTTGTAGAGGCGTGTGCCCGTATGGGCGAGACCCCTAACTAGCCCGAGAAGAGCGGACCGCTCCACAATTTTACCCCCAAGCAGTTTCAGTCATAGAGCAAGACCAAGATCTTGTCATCCTTTTTGCCGCAGCTCCTCTTGTAAAAGTGACCGGCCGAATCATATTGGGACCCATACTGTTCCAGTTTAAATGCTTTGGGCATGACTTGCCATGGAAATGCCTGAGAGCCATGGATACCGAGCCCGGTCTTGCGAGCACGCTGCACTCTGTGACAGGCCATATTCAGCTGCAGTGGTGACTGCGTGTAGTGGCAGGATCGCAAAGTTTCCAGAATTGGTGCTTCTCCCTCCTCAAACTTTACCGGCAATGGTAATCCTACATAACTCTTTCAAGTACCATCTACCAGTATGTTGCAGCAGGTTCTTCTTGCTTTGATGACAACTTGCCAACGGTCATGCTGCGATCCTTCTTGTTTCTACTAGAACTGTTACTCCGTTTAGATAGCTTAGCTGAACTGGTATGAATCCCCTGCTTGCACTGGCACGGCACCGTCACCTTCCTTCGAATGATGTGGCTGTTGTTGTTTGTTGTTGGCAGTTGGGACTGACAGTATCCTTCTTGGTAGAGCTACAATTACTTCAGTCTGGGCAGGGGAGGGTTTCTAAAGGTTAGAATACTCGCTTTCTCCAAGCGCTTAAAGTTTACAGGCAGAATGCCGGGAGTGCATAACGCCTCATATATGTTTCCTTGAAAGCCTGCTTGCAGGGCATGACAAGGATCTGGCGATGGATCCCCGTAAGGGCAAGCACTACAAAAAGGCAGATGGTCTCAATACCCGACTTGAGGACCGACGTTACCCGTCTAGGTTGTTAGAGGTTCTGGCTGCCAGATTGGTTGTTTCCAAAAGTCGCGCGTCAGGAATTCATAGTAGGGCGCATGTTTGACCCCTCCGATACATACCCTCGCAACGTCCCTTTCGTCAAGAGCCCAGCACTACGAAACATACCCCGAAACATACCTCGAAACATACCTCGAAACATACCCCGAAACATACCCCCGAAACATACCCCGAAACATACCCCCGAAACATACCCCCGAAACATACCCCAATCCAAACATGCATTTTTGACCACGGTTAAGCCGGAAACACCCAGATAGAGCCTGGATCTGCTTCAGGGAACCGTTGCGAAGTGAAGGACCTTTGGAAGATTTTTCCCGGCAATATTTGAAGCATACATGTCAGTTTCGAAGCTCACGACTTTGCAGGATGACCCAGTCGATGTACGGCAGCAAATTCATGAGCTACCTCTTAAGCAAATGCAAGACTGAAGCCGCGGTGGCGGTTGAGTCCTTGCGTTTGTTTGAGTTATGGGCCCAAGCGGCTCGTATTGTAATACTTGCTCATGCACGTGGTAAAACAGGACAGGGATCCTGCGTCCACCTTGGTGCCGCCGGCTGTGCGTGTGCATGTGCCTTGGACTCTGCAAACTCCCCGGGAAGTTTGGGATTCAGGTTCTCGGCCTGTATCAGGGTGGACTGGGGCCTGGTGGGATCATGCCTGTGTGAGAAGCCTAAGTCACAGGTCCAAGGGCAACAATTTCTGTGCCCCCTCGTGACCAGCAGCAATCTATCAGCAAAGTCCCGCTTTCTCTTAAGGTGGGGCTGCCTCATCGCGCCTTCACACGGCCCCTGACTGGAGATGATGTCCTTGTCGTTCCGGAGTTGCTGCTTGGAGCACAGAGCCACCCTGCTATTTGGGCATGTCGCCCCCCAGGCCCCAGGCGGTCCCAAGCTCCAATAAGGCTGTCAAAAAGAAGTGGTCCTCTTTTCTTGCGTGCTTTCCTGCAGTCTGTCTTGAGGTTCTTGAGATGGTGCGGGGATTCGGTTTGCGGTATACGTCCTTTGCTTATCTTTGCTTTGACCTTTGGCGGTTAGATGAAGCCACGCAAAGTCTAGCCTTTGTTTTACAGTATACGTCCCGCTGTCGGTGTGTAGTTGTGGTGTCTCAAAACCTCGAAAATGCGCAGCCACGGCGTCATACTCTCTTATTTTTTGCGGTCTGTGGATTGGAGGCTGATGGGTGACTGCTGGCTATGGATTTGATGGGGTTTGTCGTGTCGTTGTGCTTGGTAGGTGTGCTGGTTCGGCTGCTGTTGCATTTTGCAATCAGGGATGGTCTAGCTTGCAGCCTACAGCAAAGGCCTTCTTGATATGATATGAGGATGTGCTTGACACTCGCCAATAGGTGCAAAATGAGCTGTCAACGCAGTTGTTCTTTTACTTTCAGATCCAATCCACTGTCGCCCCTTCAGCTTGGATAACTTGGATCCAGGCTCTGTGACCAGGATGACTTCTCTCTCTATCACAAAATGGTGGAGGAAATCTGCACTGCGCAGGCGGAGGGTAGCAAGGAAGCCAGGTGGGAGATTTACAAAATTCGGAGCTTATATTCCCCCGGAGGACGGGGGGGGGGGGGCGCGGATGTATCGTACACCCGAACATTCGAGGGTATATAAGTGGATCCTATTGAAATCTAATCAATCTAATCAAGATCGAATAAAGATCAGTCAACAACGCATATGCAACCGATTCGATCTAGTCAAAACCATAATAGAATTAGAGTCAACTAACATCGAAATTAGACAGCAATTGGAGTCTAGTTAACATCGAACAACCAGGTTTAAACCAAAGTAAAACTGTAATCAACTCAATTGAAATCTATTTCGAATCGAAACAAAATCTCATTAGAACCTAATTAAACACAGTGTATATGTACATTCAGTTATACAAACTATTCAAAATCAATCGACATCTTGGAAATAAAGGAGATCCCGACTCCTTCAGGGTCATGCTGAGGACCCACCCTAATTCAGAGGATCCGAGCCCTAATCAACTTTAGCCTAGGCCCTGTTAAAAGTAGCCCTGGGCAGATCTCATATTTGGCAGTTCTGGTGAATCCGTACTTTATATTAAGGGAGGGGGTTACTACTAGGGCGAGGGGATTCGGGACTATAGAATTTCTAGGGATTCCTATTTATCGCCCGAGAAGCTAGAAACATGGAAAGAAACATGCCAAATGCAATGGAAGCCACTTTTCCAATAGTTCGCGCGTCGCTCCTCAAACTCCCAGGGTAATGGTTGCCGAAAAATGTTCCAACCAGTCTGACATACAAAATTCCCAGGACCCTTAGACCCTAAAAGCCCATTACTTTGTGCATTCAGGGGGTCCTGGAAACTAAGGGTACGCGTATGCATCCTTTGGGGTATATAAGAGGGGCATCCCTTTGTTGACAGTACCCATGTCTTGATCTAAGCATCGGACCGATATAGCCTTACCATGGGGACCCCTGCAACCCCTGATTTGGGAAACCCCTAATCCCTATAATCCCCTATGTAAACACCGTTTCCATTTCATTTTCCATTCTCTTTTCCATTTGATTCTCCATTACAGTATGTACCCCTAATTTTGGGAAACACCCTAAACCCTATATAACCCCTATATAACCCCTACATCCCCCTTTAAAGGTACCCCTAATTTTGGGACACCCTTATACAAGCAGGTGGGCATCCTGGAAAGATGGCTGCCATCTGATTACCAAGGCGCCAGGGCGATGAAATTCTAGGTGAAAATCCCAATCCCACTAAGGGGTTTCCAATAAAATTAGGGTTTAGGGTTTAAGGTTTTGGGTTTAGGGTTTAGGGGTTCCTGAAAAAGAGTGCCCTAGGAATGGTTGGGGTCTGAAGAGGGATGAGGAGGGTCCCTATGACGGACTCTATGCCAGTAGTGTTTCGAAACCCCAATCGGGTTCAAGAATTGGACCTCCAAGACCTCAACTTTTCTCGAAGAAGCTCGCCAGCGCCCTGGCATTTGATCCTGAGGCGCCGGAGTGTTCGGCAACTTACTGTGATGTCGTCGCCAAGGTCATAGCTTATTTCCGGATCCTGGAGCCCTCAGTCTACTCCCGCTTCAACTGGTATGTTAATGGAGCCGACTGGAAGCCGCTGCACCATGATACTGCAGCTTTCAGTCAGCGACGATTGGGCAAGCAAAACATCACTGTGGGAGTTTCCCTGGGTGGTGAACGGGAGCTGGCCTTTCGGCATGTGCAGCATGGCACCTTGGCGTATTTTCCACAAGTGAATGGGATGGCCTTCTCCTTTGGGCGCCGCATCAATATCAACTGGAAGCATGGGATCAATGCACTGCCCCAGGAAAGACACAATCAGCTTGGAAGGATCTCCATAATCCTCTGGGGTTGGACCGAGCTTGCAGTCGAAGAGAATGAGGAGTATGGTGACGCAGCGGAAGGTGATGTACCAAAGGCGGAAGCCTTCCACAAAATATGCAAGCAGTATCAGAAGGGTAAATGCACCTATGGTGAGCGGTGCAAGTTCACACACTCCGAAGAAGCCTCGCTCCCGCAGGTCGCAGAAGTCAACTAGTTGGAAGAAGCCGACGGTGCGTACGCCCCTCCAAGCATCCACACCTTGAACAAGAATCCCGGCCATCGCATCTTCTCATTGGGCAGAGCATGGGGTATGGGGGCATCCTCTGCACCTGGTGGTGATCTGTGGTCCTATGGCCCGCCGCAGCACGCTGCAAAGAGACGACACTGCCTGCCAAGAGAAATCTGACAATGCCGGGGTGCTGTCACGCTGTTCAGGATGATGAAAAAGCTTGCGTGTAGTTGGCTTGCTCCCTTGTTGCTGCCTGTGAAGCATGTGTTAGTGCGGATGCTGACTGATAGAGCAGCTAGCTTGACATGCACTTTCGCTGATTTGTCCTTATTTGCCTACAACTCAAAGCCAGCAAGCACCACTTGTTGCAGGTGGAACAGTTTGAGCAAAAGAACGCGGAAGCAAAAAAGCGGGCACCGACCTCAACCTTTCCCTGCAGCACAGATCCAGGCTGTCAAGAAGTGTCCCGGTCATTGGTTCCATGGCTGTTTTCTGGACGCCAACAGTTTGTATTCCTCCTTGGCTTGTGTACAGAACTCAATTCTTATGAGAATCCTGCCAAGGATTGGCAACTACGAGATCGCATCGAAAGCCACGCGGCAGCACATTGAATTGTGCGCCTTGTATGATGTACAACTTGGAATGAGGTGATGTCAAAGCATGCCCAGTGCTCCGATTCTTTTTTAAAACGGCTTCTCCTTGAATTTTGGCTTGGTTTGCACATAAAGGAAGCGTATCTCAAAAGGGCGCGGATTTCTCAGGCCTCGAGGAGACGGAAGCTAATGCCGAAGGTCAGCTGAAATGGCTGAGGCTCGAATGTGCTGAGCTGGAGAGCACTGTTGCCTAGGGCAAAGGGCTGGGAGGATCTACTGGGATCCGCTAGCAGGCATCCTGTTCTTGGAGGTGACGTAAGTCCCCTACAACCGTTCTGTGAATCTGTTCCTGGGAACAGCCTTAGACTTTTACAATCATGATTCCTGGAAGAGTGGCATGCTGCATCCATGAAAAATCTGCCAATCGCCAGCCTTCACAAGGACATGACTAGACAGATCGTCTGCGGAGCACGTCGCATGAATGATGATGCTGACAGCTACCGCCAGTATTGACCTTCAATACCATTCCGGCAAAGAGAGCGAGGAAGACGACTATGACAACCAACATCACCGCTTCCACCTCTGCCGCTGCTGCTGCTACTGGTATAATCAAAGCTCCAACAACAACCACAGCAACAGCAACACCAGCAACAAAATACAGCAAAAACAGCTATTTGCTGGTACTACTCCAGACGCTTTTTCCTGTTCTGATTGCTTGTCCTCGTGCCGCTTCCTGCGTGACCGTTCTGCTCACTCCTGTTGTAAGCGGCATTATCTGCTCCCACCTTTTGCTAGCGGGCATCCTCTGGAAAACAGGAATGATGTTTTCCGGCCTCGGAAGCAAGAAGCGTGTAGGACTACATCCGGCGTCCTGCATCGTGGCAAATATCGCTAGAGCTTGCATACCATGGAGGAGAAGTAACTGATGTTGCCATCGCTCCGCGTCCTCACAAAACCACCACCACCGCTGCTGCCCTCCTCTCCCACTACCACCACCACCAGCTGCTCAATTTTGTGTGGTAGTAAATGGGGGGAGCCCTCAAGATAGACCCCAACAAATTATCATCCTTCTTAGAGGGACCCCAAAAAAGGTACCCTCCATTTTCGCAAACCCCTAAACCCTATATCTTACATATCCCTGCTTTAAACCCTGTAACGCTCTTCTTTTACATGTATAGTTCTTCTTTTAAATGTATAGTGCCCCTCACTTTGAGTCTTCCTGGTGATGGCACCACTCTTTGCGAGCAGGTCGGAACTTGACACACGCAGTGAGGAGCTGGCCAAGGCCTCGTTTTTACAATGGTCTACAGGGTTTAGGGTGTAGGGCCGAGTCCTGGTTCAAATAGGGTTTAGGGTTTAGGGCTTGAGGTTTAGGGTTCAGGGTTGAGGGTTACTTTACTGACTTACTGGTATATAGGGATGATGGAAAGGAAAATGGAAACTACTATTTAGGTTCAGGGCCGAGGGTTAGCAGGCTCATCTTACTGGGTCCCAGTAGGGAATACATTATTATGGGTGTTCTATAGGGGTAATGGAAAAGAACATGGAACCTACTACATCATCATGGAGTGTATATGGGGGTTAGAGAAGGGAATAAAGGAATATATTGTATAGGGATTATATTCCCCTTATCCCCTACTAAGAACCAGTAAGTCATTCGAGGTTTGGCTCATGCTTGTGGCTTTTGCAGCTTTATTCATAGGCTCCTTGGTAGAGCTTGACTTTTTACGGGCGTTGCTCAAATTGAATTTTCATGAATCATCTCTTTTTCATGTGTAGCTTTAATAGCATCACCAAATTGGACAGATGTAAGGTGGCTAGGAAGGACACTGCCTATGAGGCCATATGGGGCCTTCTTTGTTGTGGGCTGGTGAGAGGTTCATGACAGTGGTACCGGAAGGCTATTGATGCAGGACTGGTCTGGCTAAAGCTTTTTCCCAAGATCTTTCCATGAGCTCATGAGTGTTTTGCAAGGCATGTATAAAGGTAAGAAGGTGCGCTCAAATTTGAGTTGGTAGGCAATTGATGGCTTCAAGGGGGTTGTGCTCATCACAATTTTCCCCTCATGCTTTGCCCGCGTTTCTTTGCTGAGAGCACAGCGGCTCCACAGTCCCATGAAGCATTGTTTGCTGAAGGAGTTCTTCAGAAAGGGCACCTTGTCCCTGTGCAATGCAAGGAAATCTGGTTGAAGATTGATCCGTGTCCTCGTAGCGTGTTTTTGGCCCCAAGTCTTCCCAGTTGGTGCGCACTTCCTAGGATTGTATGCAAGTTGTAGCTTTCTAGGTGCCATTAGGATTTTAATTGCGAATTGCTTTGAGATGTGTATTCAGGTTCGACTGGCAAACGTAGGGTTTGACAGCTATAACATAACATACCGTTACCTACTGTATGAGCTTCCAGATCTGCTGTACGTGACCAGATGAGAGGACAATAGGGATGATGGAACATAAAATGGAAACTACTACAGTATATTGGGCTTATATTGGGATAACAGAAAAGAACATGGAAACTACTTTAATGGGTTATATCTTTTGCATTCAGGGGGTTGTGGGTTGGGTCTCATTAAAAGGAACAAGTATTCTCAAGTACGGATACGGACCATGACTGCGAGGCTCCTCGCAACAAGGAGCCTGTATCCCCTTCAAATCCCTGCATAGCCACAAGGTTTGTGCTGCAACAGTGGTCCAATGTGGTCCAGTTTTGAAAGCAACCGGCTAAACCTCAAATCCAAAGCCGCGGCAAACTGTATCTACATCCTTTCATTTGCCCAGCGAAAGCGGAGCTGTGCCTTTCTAACGAATCAGTTTTCCAAAGTTTTGTAAAACTAGTTGTGCCGGGGCATCAAGCCGCCGTCTTCCTCGTGCTGCAGCAAGCAGATAGGTCGGGGAAAAAAGGGAGCCTCCAAAAAACACTGTCTACAAGAAACCCCCACGAACAGCGCCAGGTAACTCAGGAGTTGTCCTCGACAAAGTCGGAGCAGGCCTGCCTTCTTCTTGTTGAATCGAAGTTACCGGGCTGGGGCACTGATGGGCATTAGGTTGCCAGAGGGTGCTCTTGCAGCTGGCTGTTGCATTCGCTGGTGTTGCCGAGAATGTTTAAATGCCGTCACGTAGTTGGACATCGCCTTTCCTTGCAGCAAAATACCTACATCAGGGCACATTTGTTTGAACGCATGTCATCCAACGCAAAATCTAAATGAACGATTACCAACAGCAGGGTATCGTGGTATCCCCTGCGTGTGGGTGCTTGGGCACTTTGTACAAGATGCTGATCGGGATCAATCCGCAGTTTGAGGCGCGCAGGAGAGTGGAGCCCCAAAAGCACGATCCTTCGCAACTGCTTCTTGCTGGTACAGGTCAACCTAGCCATGTCTCCAAACCCAGGTTCCTACACCTACCAAGATGTTACCTTACATGCAATGTCCAATGCGGCCCGGACCTTGAGATGTCCTTCTGATGCTGCTGCCTTGAGGTGGTAATTAAGGGTGTTTGAGGGGCACCCAAGCGGTACACTCCCCAAACACCTTGTGACAGGCCCTTCATTTTATGCTAGCCTATTTGCAAAATCTGCTTCCAGGAAAAGACGGCTTCGCATCTAAAAGAGCTGACCACATCGCTGCAGCTAGCGAAGGAGGACAGAACACCCTATAGGACTTTTGAGGATTTGAAGCCTAGGGGATTCAAAATGACACGCCCGAATTGAGTGAATTTCCCGTATGAACACGCTCGTGGACCCTGGGAACTGGTAGCGCTCTCTATCTAAACAGGACAGCGTGTTGCAGACGTCCATCTAGAGCGTCTAGAACCAGAACCTACTTGTTCAAGGGGCTCAGACCGGAGTGTTGATGGAAGTTGCAGGCGAAGCCAAGCCGTGTGGATAGGGGATAGGGTAAGTGTAGCGGCTGGCACGGGCTAAGTAGCCGGTATAATCAATGCACAGGCTTAGGGCACCCAGCCACGAAACATCATATAGATATTTGTTTTTCTATGTTAGCCAGTCTCTATAACATCACCATCCTCTATCGGCAGGAGCTTTCCAAAGCGAAGCTGGAAGAATGCGCCAAGCTGCCTGCTGAGTTTCAGCGGTGTCCCTCGTAGCTCGCAACACAGAAGGATCCAGATCACTGGGTAGGAAACCCAAACGGATGGTTGACACTGAGCCTTTGGAGCTTCATGACCAATGGGCATAAGTTGAGAAAGTCAGCCGCCGCATTCCTCCGCTGGAAAGCTGTAGCCCCTCTGTGAAGCGCGTTTTCTGGCCTGAACTGCGGACCGCCTCAAACCCTGAAGTATAGCCGGCCTAGACGCAGAGGGAGAGACGCCTGAGTTTATGAAGAATAAGGGTCTCCTTTTTCGGATGCTTCGAGTTGATGGGGCTTCCCGGCATTTTGATGCTCTTGCTTTTGAAGTAGCATTGAATGCCCCACCCCTAGGTGTAAATTACGGGTTTCAGGCCAGAGGTGACGAACGCTCCTGCAGCGGAGAGCCTTCAAGACACGGCCGGGATGCCCTGCTCCAGTCTTCGGGATGAGGGATATGGATGGGTAACGGGTAACAGGGTGCTGGTACCATGACATGTTTTTTGCCGGAAGGGCTCCTTGAGGACTTGCAGAGAGGCGTCGCCCTTGAGGAATCCATGTCGGACAGTTTGAGAAACTGCGGGCTGTGGGTTAGTGGAAACCGGAGCAGGACATCCCCGATCGTACATGTCAAAGCACTAGTTCTGCATTAATTAGTTGCTGCGAGTAGCGCCACTTGCCCCAAGCCCTCAAATCGCAGAATTTCTTGCCTTCTCTTGTCAAGCTAACTACTGCCAAAGTGCTGGGAACTTCAAGTTGGAGCCAGTCCTGCAACCTTCTGCCTGATCTACATGATACGGGCTGCACGTCCAGGTCATAAAGAACATGACCAAAAAGCCTCCAAAATGTTGCTTCACCTAGGATTTATGGCTGAGAGTGTTTGTCTGAGGATTTCCAAATGTCAATGGATTCAGGGGTCTGGATCTTTGGGTCAGTCATGTCGCGTGTCGCGAATGTAGACTAGATGTCAGTGCCCACTGGCTTGTCCTCAATGGTTGGCCACTAGTTGGTTCGCCTTGCACCCTGTCATGCCCATCTGCGCGCCAGCGGAGAGGCTCAGGAAGAGGAGTTACGGCGACTCCGAGAGGCACGCATGTGGGATCAGTACAGGAACAGGATGGAACAGGGTTTAGGACCACGTGTGCTAGGTCAAAATGGTCGTTTGAAGATACAATTATCTTCCTCCTAACGCTTGCTTTAGGGGGGGGGGCGGGGCGGGGCGAGTTTGCTGCTGCCACCCTCTTCTTCATCCTTCTCCTCAGTGTTGTGAGTTAGTTGGGATTCAGGAAATCGAAATGCAGGACAACTTATCGAGGAACTCTTGTAATCTTCTCAATAGATGCAAATGAAGACAAGATATCACATGAATTCTACGCGCTCTTATCTCCTACATGGGTATCAGTCTGATGTGATGTGAATCGATCAAATGACCGGCCAATGATGACTGACTGTCTATCCCTGATATTGGTATCGATTCCTTGTCCTTTGTCATGCCTAACAGGGCCTCCAAACGGTCAGGCAGTATGAAAAATGCGCACGGATACAGACTCGGACACAACATGAGGCAAATTTGTCCGTGCTCATGATGAGCATTGTGGCAGCCACTACGAGTCTGACCACCTCTACATTCTACATCATCGTCATCATACTTATCATCACCATCACCATCATCAGGCAACCCTCGTCTGCATCATCACTGCTGCTGTTGCTGCTGCTTGCTCCAGGAGCTGGCAACAAGTGTCGCAAATGAGGAGCGCTTGCGGCCCTTCACTGAGGATAGAGCCCACCAGTGAAGACAGTGGTGTGAACGTTGCAATTCCTGACTTGTTCCCAACCTTGAACAGGCCAAGCTTTAGGGAGCGTGGCTTGAGGCAGGATTCGACAGAAGCGGTGGAGGGCACTTGGGCCATCCTTGAGGCCCTTTCAATCTTTAGCTGGATGCCATGAGCTAGCTTCCTCACATGCGTGCTGGCTCAAGGATGCCCAGCTCCAGGTCATGCATGCACGCGGACCCGCCCTAACGCCCACGGGCGGCCCGGTTCACTCGCTGGACATGGACATGGCGGCAGATTTGCCTGACCTGGTGAATGAAGTCCTCCAGAAACAACATGCAGAGCTTCTCGGCCGACTCGAGACCTGGCTCGGAAGGGTGGAGGCGGCTATGGATGGCCGCTTGCTTCCTCTTCCTGGTCCTTTGGGCCCTCCTCCTAAGGAGTTCGACGCAAAAGCCGAGGACGAGGTTGCGGTGTCAGCAGAGCTGATCGGAACCAAGCCGTTGCGGCAAGAAAGCAAGCAGAGCAAGCAGAAGGAGGACCTGCACCGATGGCATACCAACATTCAACATACTCGCCGTCCGTAATCCGGTCTCTCAGGCAGAATCAGGTAGGGCCAAGTATAGAGCTTTGACAAAGAACAGGGTTCTTACGCCAGTACTACCGGAATTTGAGATGTGTTGTGGAGGACACGCCGACCCACTCCGTCTCCACCAAGTCGCTACGCAAGACGATCCAGACGCATGACTACGAGGAGGCCCAGGAAGAAGCAGCGCGCTTTGAGTCGCGGCTAGGTGCACAATATTGCTGATAGCTCCTTTATTAGGTCGGGTTCCTAATTAATTCAAGTCCTGCTTTGGAGATTGGATTCGTCCCTCCGAGACATAGGTACAAGAAGATGGTTTCGACAGAGGCTGTGTCAGTCTCAACTGGTGACTTTTGCGGTGGTTGCCGAAGAGTGGCGAGTTTCATCGCAACGTCCATGGCTTTCAATGGCTTTGTGGCGTTTGTCATCGTCTCGAACTCTGTGTTCTTGGGAATGCAGCTGGAGTGGACAGCAATAGGTGCCTTTGGCCTCATACCTCAGTCATGGACTTTTGTTTTAGTGGCATCCTGCACTTGGGTTGCAACTGCCGCCCTCAGCAGCCTTAGCCCAAGGCGGCAACGATCCCGATGCAGCTTTTGCCTTCCTCGTTGGCCACGTTTGTTACGCTGTTATCTTCACTGTGGAGAGTCTGGGCAGCAGAGCGTACTGTAGTAGCATGGGGACACTGAGGCGCGTCCGCCTCAAAGCCTCGGAGCATTGTTGTGCATCATGCACCAAATCCTATGCTCTACATGACTTGCCTAGGTAGGGATTCAGATCAGAGAAGATCTTTTAGTTCACTAGCGAGTCAACACCCGCATTACGCTCCTCTCCCAAATCTGCAGCTGCTGAGCCAATCAGGATGTCCATTCGACTCGTGGCCATAGGACCCACCAACTTCTTTTGTGGCCCCGACTACGCGTGGAACTGGCTGGACTCCTGGGCAAGTGAAAACAGTTTCCAGCAGATTCCGGCATGAAACCATGAAACCGGCTTGCCAACCCATTCTAATCTCTGAATGCTTCTGTCTTTGCAAGTTTCGCGTGGTGAGAGAGTCCTTCTGGGTCAATACGTTAGATGCCCATGCTTTATTCATGCGCGCATGCCGTCGCGCCTGAGATTCTAGGCACGTGACCTTGACTCCTTGACCTTGTGATCGCATACAGGACGTCTTCATCGTAGTCCCCGCCTGGGTTGAGCTGGCCGTGGACGTAACTGGCTCTGCCAGCAACTTCCGCATCATTCGAGTGCCTGGGCTGAAAGTTCTTGGGCAGGTTTCTGGAGACACTGGCTTGCCAGCAGCAAAGGAAATATGATGCTTGATTAAGCTACAATGATGAGTGAAGATCACAAATGCTAACGCTGATGAAGTCTTGCATGCACACTGTAGAACACATGCTTAGTTAATCCTGTGATCGTCCGCACATGTTCAGAAGCTTATCTGCAGGTGTTTCGTGTCACGCGGTTGCTGCAGCTCATTCGGTCTGTCCGTCTCATTCGCTTCATCAGCGCATTCCGCGAGCTGGTTTTGCGCCTTTGCTGCAGATGGTGCCCGTACTGCCACTTGTCATTGCGGCTAGTGGAAGTTTGTTCCTGCTCGTTGTGTTGAGCACTGTTGAGCTATGCTTGGAAGGTCCATCATGAGCAAATGCGCAGCAATTTGAAAAAGGCCCCACCCTTCGCACGCTTTCGCTTGCGTCTGGAAGGTACAGCGCCCGTTTGTTGTGAGCGCTGCGTGTGACAGACAGAAAAAAGCAGATGTGCTGGAACTGGTGGATCTTATATCGAAACCTTTCCAAGGAGGTTTGGCTTCAGGCCCAGCGCTGCAGAACAGTACCAAAGTGGTATAGGGGGAAGCCGGAATCTGGTGGAATCTCTCCTGACCGAGCCTGAGGGGCGGATGGCAAGGGACAGGTTTCGGACACATTAGAGATGGAGGCTCTGACTTTCTGATGTCGATCAGGGGTTTCTTTCTGTGGCGGTAATACGTTTGGAGCCCCTGAGATTTCTGACTTGAGCTGCGACAGCTCAGCTCGGGATGGCGGGCGTGATCAGGGCACAGCTAGCTGGCTTTGGACCCTTTTACGATGCATCTCTATGTAGGGTTCTGTCCAAACGTAGACGAAACTTCATCCAGCAGAGTTCTACTTTAATTGCTGGCCACCTGCTGCGCCTGTACGCAGAAAAAAGCCTGACGCGCGGTACCTTATCTTGAATTTTGCGGCTCTTCCTGATTTACTCGGGGCGCCCCTGCCTGCATCATTTGTTCGGCAAGCTTTGGTCCATCCGGGGTGCAAAATCCACGTGGACATCTGTGTTTGTTTTTGCCCGCCCGGCGCCCCTTGCCCCTTAAAAGCTTGCAAGTCCACGCAAAGGTCAGCAAGTGAAAAAGGCCGAACGCCTGTAGCAGCTGCCGCCTTGTAAGTCTATAATTGCGGCTACCACTCCAACCACCACTTCACTCATGGTCACTCCATCTTTTTTCTACAGCTTGTATCTAGTCCAGCGAGTCTTGAGCACCTCTAAGGTCAGTGATCGACACTGTCCGCCAGGTATTCTGGGCAATGGTTCTCTTGGTTCTCATGATCTACAGTTTCTTGCCGAACTAAAACAATTAAGCCTTATGCCGCATGCGGTTATGCAAGCTTTTTTCCTTAGGGTGGCTTTGCTTCATGGGAGACATGAGGCTTTGGTATCCTCTTCACAGACATAAGCCTCCAGCACAATGAGACTTTCCCACCGGATCTTCAACTTCAGCAGTATTTTGGCAGCCTGTACATCTCCTGCAACACGCTGTTCCGAGCACTGCTGGAAGGGTTTGATTGGGTCAACGCGGCTGACAGCCTTGAGCCTGCTGGCACGATTTGGGTCCAGTTTTTCCATTTGTACATGGCAGTCGGTGGCCTGGCCATCTTAAACGTGATCACAGGCGCGGGTGGAGGGTTCGTGTCAGTTAAGGGGTGCTGCGAGCCGCACTAGACTCTTCGCAGCACTTCTTGTCACAACCTGCCCATTGCCTGGCCCAAAATTCCTTTTGATACGGTGAGGGTCGCACCGGTCGCTGGTTTGCCTTGTGCACTTCATTGCGTGCAGTGATTCCAAGGGTACTCCTAGCACTTAAGCAAACCCATATGTATATGTATACCCCTATATATACCAGTAAGTGCAGTGGGATACTT